ATGATAACTCAGCTGGGTATAGAACTGAAGTTGACATTATTTGTCTCTCAGTGATTTGAAAGCTGTTCCTCTGCGGCCCTCTGCTCCGTATTGTTGATGTTGAGAAGTCTATTCAAATAACTGCCATTCTTGATTGGGGAATTCGTTTTCCTCATTATTAGTTTAATATCTTCCCCCTCTATCTAGGTGTGGATTTTTAAAAATCTTTCATGGGATTTAAAATGGATAATCAGGCTTCCCTGGTGGCGCAGTGGTTGAGGGTCTGCCTGCCGATGCAGGGGACACGGGTTCGTGCCCTGGTCCGGGAAGATCCCACATGACGTGGAGCGGCTGGGCCCGAGAGCCATGGCCGCTGAGCCTGCGCGTCCGGAGCCTGTGCTCCACAACGGGAGAGGCCACAACAGTGAGAGGCCCGCATACCGCAAAAAAATATAAAAATAAATAAAATAAAATGGATAATCAATCTAGAGACTCCATACCTTTCTTCACTCTGAAAAATTCTCAGCTTTTAGCCACTGTCTCTATAAATGTTGTTTTTGGTCCACTTCCTCTGGTCTTGGTGTCCTTCTGTTCTTAACTGGATTTTGATTTATCCTGGACCTTCAAAGTCTGTCTACCACTTTACCTAACTGCTCTTTCGTATTTTCAAAAAATCTCTTTGTCTTCTGGGGACACATTCTGAGTAAATGCCACAGTACTGAGTTTCAGTTCTCTAACTGTCTTTGGAACTAGAATGTTTTGGAAGTTGGATTTGTAGGCAGAACCTGTCAAGAAGGATCTCCATGCCTCTGTTTCTTTCTCTCTCTCTCTCCCTTTCACACACACACACACACACACACACACACACACACACACACACACACTCTTTACTGACTTTTCTAGGAACTGCAGTTGTGCACATCTTCCCCAGAAGCCCACTCCTGAATCCCAGCCTCTGCAGGTCCAGAGCCCCTACTCTGAAGTGATATTGGGGATATAACTTGCATTCATTCATGCAGTTAACTAAAGTGAAGCACAGCTGTTCTGAGGAGCACTGCGCCAGAAGGACCCTCCAACCCTGGCCATACAGCCCTGGCCACCACATTTCTGCTGGCCCTCTACCAAGAACTCAGCATGACTCCATTTATTATTTTTTTTTCCAAGGAAGACACATTTTACTATAAGAGAAAGGCAGTAAGTGGACAACTGCGTAAACAGAAAAGTGGAAACGCAATGTTACAGTTATACGCTGTAGATTAGACATCAAACCCAACATGGGGGTAAATTTGAGGAGTGCTTATTGGCTCAAAATATTCCCTCAGCACTGAAATTTCACTTATATTCTTTATTAAAGTTGGTTATTCCCCCACACAAGTCCCCCAGACGTGGATGGCGAGGAATAATTCTGAATGCTTTCTGAACCTCAATTCTCAAAATCAATGGGTCAGCAAGACCGGACATTATCTCCTTTATAGTTTTAGAATCCTGCTTCTTTATATCCCATCTAATGACCTCATAATCTTTACTACGGTAATAGTCCCCTCACTATTCATCCTGATCTAATATTTATGTAAGAGTTAAATCCCATGTTTTAAAATGCTGTTAAAGCTCACTCTTATTTCACAATATAATGAGTTAACTTTTTCAAGGAGGCTATCCTTTTATAACACTTAGTTTGGGCCAGTCACGTGCTACATGACTTTACGTATTTATTCACCTAATGGTCACAATACTCCTGTGATGTAGGTGCTATTAACAGGCTCACTTTACAGCTGACCAAACTAAAGCACAAAAATATTATGTCACCTTCCAAAGGTCATGGAGCACGTAAGTGGCACGCTGGTCCCAGAGACTGTGCTTTTGACCGTTACAAGTAACCACAATATCCAGGTCACACCACCTTTGCCTCTAAGGTTAACAAAACGAAATTTTGCATCTTTGTAAGGCTTTAAAGTTCTTTGGGGACAGAATCTAGCTTATTCATCTGCATACCATCCAGGGCTGCTTTCAAACTACTATGGCGGCAGAATTGAGTCATTTTGACAGAGACCTTATGACCCTTAAAACTAAAATATTTACTGTTCTGGCCATTTGCAGAACAAAGCTGCCAACTCGTGCTGTAGAGCAATAGTTATGCCTCCTGCAAGCAGTCCTCTTAAGTGAGGGTGTCTTCCAAGCTCCGAGGGGCAGGTTTGCACAGGCCGGCGATGCCCGTTTGTGGGCTGACATGATGAGACACACTCACACTCGACTTCAGGCTGATCTCACAAAGCCTGGACCCGTGGTGTTGGAACCGAAAGGGACCCTGGAGGCCACCTTCATCTGTGACCGAGACCAGCAAGAACCTACAGGTGCGCAGACCTGAGCTGGTGGAGGAGCCAGCCTTAGCCTTCGATTCTCTTTAAGCTGCGGCTCAATAGAGTGTCGGGAATTCTAGAGCAGACCTAAAACTGACATTCAGTACATTATTTTGAGGTTAAATAAAATATGCACTCCAAGGATTGAGTGCCAGTTTTCACAGGGGCATGTGAATAAATGCCCCTGCAGAGTCACTGGGCTTTGCAATTTATTTTTTTAAATTGAAGTATAGTTGATTTACAATATTGTATTAGTTTCAGGTGTACAGCAAAGTGATTCAGTTATACATGTGTATGTATATATCTATATTCTTTTTTTGATTCTTTCCCATTATAGGCTATTACAAGATGCTGAGTATAGTTCTCTATGCTATACAGTAAACCCTTGTGGTTTATTTTATACATGGTCCTGTGCATCTGCTAATCCCATACTCCCAATTTATCCCTCCCCTCCTTCCCCTTCGGTAACCATAAGTTTGTTTTCTATGTGCAATTTGTTTAAAGAGCAAACTGCTGTATGGCAGGAGTGTCTGGTCTGCAGCCTGCTTGGTGCTTGTATGTCGGAAAGATTACAAGGCAACCCAGCACGATTTTACCTACAGGTCACCAAGGCTAGTTTACTAGTCCATTGAACTGCCCCAGGGGATCATCAAAGTCTACCTTAGGTAAGTTTTGCAACAGTGTGACAATAATTTCAAAAGGTTTAAGTGAAAGAAATAGCCAAGTTTTTCCCCCTCTCAATTTTTAATTAGTGATATTAAATTACAGAAATACCAAAAAAAAAAACCACAAAAAACCATTGACCATGAAGTCCATCTGTCTTTTAGGCTCAGGCAGATTGTCTGAAGTGGCACCTAAAGGGTATTCACGTGGGAGGAGGAATTACCAGCGTGAAGCTCCAGTCGCCCCTTCCATCTGCAAAGTGTGGACCTCGAGTCTCCCTGTGGGAGCTCAGTGAACACAGCATCCCTAAGCCCACAGGACCCCGAGCCATACTCAAAATTACATGCAGTAAACCTCCCGGGGATGCTTTGTCCTATTTCATTTTGAACTCGTGTCCCTTCGGAGCCACGTTCACTACATTTCTGTAGCTAAAATTGAATGTGGGAGCATATCGTGTTTTATACTGATTATGATACCACTGTGTCCTCTCACATTTATTTGTTGGTCATTAGCAGATCTGTCTTGTCCTCTCAGTTCCTAATTTTGACCAAAGTGGCTCATCCCAGATACATTAATCCTTTTGTTCAATGAGTGTCCTTTATATTTAAGACCTGAATGCATCAAGCTCCCTTAGGTATCTATAATGAGCAAAACTCTATCATATTTTAGCTAATGGCTGTATTAACTTTGTTATCTCTTCGTAGAGGCACAGAGAGAAAGCTGCACGTGCACAAAGGGAACGTAGCTTAACAGGAAGGGAGTGCCGTGGCTCGCATTTTCCACCGTATCACACGCAAACCCGAGGACGTGTTGCGGTGGCCAGTGGAGACGGCGTTCCCCGGTGGTACTGTCTTTCCCTGCGTAGACACAGTGGGCAGGTGTCATGATTAGACTTGACAGCTTGAGTTTGGAACTCCGAAGGGAACGCCAAGGACAAGGAGGTAGTGAGGTGGAAGGAGAGGAGCTGGGGACCATGGGAAGGAGGGGCCGTGCGAGAACTTGGGCTGCTGCCAGGAGCCACTGCCAGGGCTGGGGTCCAGGGAAATCTGGCCACGCTCTCCCCCAAATCTGGCCTCCCGGGAGCTGGAAGGGAGACACCAAGGATAAGGTACACACCACTCTATTTGCTATTTGAGGGGTTTGTTCGCTTTTCTGTTTTAATGACAATGATCAGGGTTGCCTGCAGTGCAAGTTCTGGGGCACAAGGTTTATACCAAGGAGAGACTGAAATTCAGAAACTGCGTGTCACTCTTTATCTGGCTCTTATCCGACATGTACACAGTTCCTGATGGAATACAGGTACAGTAGGAAAAAATATCTCACCCCCAATATTTAGGGCCTGATCCTTTCTGAATTTAAGACACTTCCAGAGTTGGGATACATTAAGCCCCAAAGCTTACAAAAATTAAAACAAAATTACCAAAAAAAAAAAAAAAAAACAAAATTACCTGGTAAGGTATGGTACAAACCATGTAATTTAAATTTCCTAAGAAATGAACAGTTTTACAACCATTATTATATGACTATATTTGATCTCAACTTGTAATTGCTTAACATATGCACATGCTAAGAACATCTTTTCTAGTCAGGACATATAGATTAATTCCATTGTTTTTATTGGATGCAGAGTATGTCACAGCTTGGATATATCAAAATTTATTTAACTCTTTCCTTACTGATGGTCATTTAATTTGTTGAATTTGTTACCATGTTTTGTTTTTTGATACTAAAACTAGTTTTGCAATGAAAACAAAAAAAGAAATGAACAGTTTTTAATTGCATTGTTAGAAGACCTTTTATTCAATACAAATATATTATACAATCTTGGATGTGTATTAAGGATCTCTCTCTTTCAGTCATTTGAAAACATATGGGTTTATCTAATAGGAGAACATAATGCAATAAATCCGAGTGCATACCCAAATATATTTTAATTGCCAATTATTGCACTGAAAATAAACATTTGCATTAGACACCCATTTCTGTAAAAAAGTAATGCTATAATTTTTAAGTAGTATTTATTCAAAGCAAGTACTTTTTGATATACAGGTGGGCTGTGACAAAATGGTATCATCATGATTAAAATCCGCAGAAACCTAAGGAAGAGAAAAACGAGCCCTTTGGAAAAGATTCATCCAAGGCAGCAGTATACTATGTTATGCCTCTATCTTCCTAACTTCTATTTTCACCTGGAGAGCCATCTTCTTTATGGCAAAGATCTGTGTTCCATGAAATTGATTAGATGTTTTTAACAAGAAGTCATTTTTGACCCATTCATTATTACCCTCACAACCCTGAATGTTACATATAGTCACTACCCAGTCATTTGTAACCTGGTAACTCACAGCATCACCGCTCATGCATTCATCATTATACCATCTCAGCATCACCAGCCATCACAGCATCACCAGCCATCACAGCAGCAGCATCTCAGCATCACCAACCATCACAGCATCACCAGCTAATGCAGCAACTCCAACCAACACACGCCCACTAACCATCACAGCATTGTCGTACCACCAGAACATCATCAGACAATCGGAACATCACCATACCATCAAAAATTGTTTTTTAATCAATCCAATGATAATATTTTAAGAATAGAGTATAAGGAGAAATTTTTATGGAACAATTATGCATGTTTCCTGGGAGTCCAGACTGAGATATATAAATGATCTGCAATTCTCTGAGAAATTGTAACACAGAAAGTCTGGTCTGATACATAGATTTGGTTAATACTTTAACAAGAATTGATAAGAATGGAATATATATGAGGGAAATATCAAGAGAGAATGTCAGCAATAATTAGAAAATATCACTGAAAGAAGGAAATCAGCTCTCAGAGGAGCTGGAATCACACCAACAATAGCTGTTGCCCGTTTCCTAGTTTTGCCAGCTTGGATACCCTACCACACCTGTTTTATAATCCAAACAACTTGCTACTAAATCCAGTCTCCAAGACCTCTTGTGTGCATGTGTTTTAAGTTTATACCTACCACTGCTCAGAGCCACCTTCCTTGAATTACTTCAGTACCTGCCAAGCTTTTTGCCCAGGTTTGATCCAGCTGTTGAAAACTAATAGCTAGAAGAGCAAATCTGCTGGTGACACTGCGTCACTGCACCACTGAATCGTGGACAGAGTTCCAACAAGCACCTAGGCCTTACGTGGAAGAGCAAATCTGCTGGTGACACTGCGTCACTGCACCACTGAATCGTGTATGGAGTTCCAACAAGCACCTAGACCTTACATGGCAACTGTCAGAGCCAACAGGTAAATCTTTCAGGATCTAGTCATTTTCAAAACTGTTCCACCTCAGAAATTAGATGTCCATCATTTATGGACAGTATCTGTGATCAGAAATCTGAGTAAGAGATCAAGTAATCTATGGTTAAGGCTATGATACTGATTTTAACTCTTAGAGAAGTTTACTTAAAGAAAGTAAGAAACTATCATCAAAATAAGAATGCCTTTGAAGTGTATATAAATTGTATTTAAATTGCTGTGAAAATCAAAAAATAGTTATGCCATTATCATATTAAACATACCCTTTGTTCCCTTTTCTTTGTTGATTTCATTAGAAAAACTACTGGCTTTGCTTTTTTTAAAAACCCAGTTCATTCTAAATTAGATTTTGTATGAACTGGAATGTTTCAGGGAGAAGAAAGGGGTAAGTCTGAGAAAAAGATCACCCACAGACCCTCTGGGTTTCTCCCTTCGATGGATTCAGATATTTTCCCACACACTCCTATTCTATCAACTGATGTAAAATGTAGACCTACAGCATATGTGTAAACACGACTCCAAAGACGACGGAGGTGATCCTCTTTCCAGGATGGAATCTGAGGTTTGTTTTTTTTTTTCAATTTTTTTCTCTTTTTTTTTTTTTTGCGGTACGCGGGCCTCTCACTGTCGTGGCCTCTCCCGTTGCGGAGCACAGGCTCCGGACGCGCTGGCTCAGAGGCCATGGCTCACGGGGCATGTGGGATCTTCCCAGACCGGGGCACGAACCCGTATCCCCTGCATCGGCAGGCAGACTTTCAACCGCTGCGCCACCAATCTGAGTCTTTTATGCCCCGTGTGTGTGCTCAGCTGAGCTGTGCCCCGACCCCTCATGCAGGTCCTGCCCCCAGATCCCAAATCAGCCAGTGTGGAAAGCGCCCACCGAGAGCACAGTGTTGCCCCACGCCCTCCCCTGTCCACACCGCTTCAGTTTTAACATCACTGGTTAATCTAAGTCTTATTCCCTTCTATTTGCACGGACACGGCTCCCTCTCAGAATGTGTCACCCAAAGCACACACTGAGTGTCTCCTCAGTGGACGCCCAGAGCCACGTGTGGTACCCAACCAGGTTTGTTCAACGGTCAGTGACTCACAGAAGGGATGAAGGGATACAGAGAACGGCTCACACCCATCTCCCCGCCCGGCGGATGTATTCACTCATCACAAAATTTCCATGACAACCCAGAGCTGCTTTCCCACTTCAAATAGCACACCCTAAAAGCCGTGATTCCACATGCTTAAAATAAGGTAATTGTCAAGAACAAATTTCCCCTAGAGTGAAATTAAGGGCCTGTCCAAATGTTTTTCAGATTATTATAATTGTTTATGCAGTACTGCTTATCCATCCGAACTATCTACAGAAATGGACTCTAACTCAGCAAACAGACAAATTTACTTGGCTCCGTTTTAAGATTAAAAGCAAGATTACAAGTTAAAAGGAGAACCCGTTTGATTTTTGATACTCACTGTACCTCCTTACTAGAAAATTATACGTCCTGAATACTCGACATGCCAATACTCCTTCTTAATTGAAAAGTAGGATTCATATAGGAAGGCAGAGGTTTTTTTTTTTTATCATTTTGAACGACTAAAATATTACAAACGAATGACATGAGTGTGAAGAGAAAGAGAACGAAGCAAAGCTCTTAACCAGTGCCATTTCTGTAACAGCTCCTACTTGGGAAAATAACGTCGTTCAGCATCGCTGGGGAATGATAACCCCTCTATTAAGTAAAAGGAATGATATTGGTTGGGATGACTCAGAATTGCCTTGGCACTTAAATAAATTCACGGGGGGTATACGTGCTCTTAGTACATGTGTTTATCTAATACCTAAAACTTCTGTTTAAATAGAAAATGGTCACAAACTGTTTCTTTTTATCTTGTAAGGCAGAAAAATGGCATGTGAGCGCCGGCCAGGAAAATAGTCCCTGCATAAGTGAATAAACACCCTTATCTTCCCCACGGTAATGGACGTGCCAGGTGATCTCCCCTCTGGCACTGGAAATTATTCATCCAGTGTACTCTTAAATCTACCATTGTTTCCTGGTTTTTGAAGATTTTCCCAAAAGGCATTAGCTAATTTATCCGACTGATTTCATAATGAGAAGTGGATTAATTACCTCTCCCCATCTTTGTCTCCAATCAACTCTCCCTCTACAAATAAAACTACCTAAATATATGTAGGTAATGAGAACAGAGAGGAAAAGCTAAGATTCTGCATTTAGGAACGAGTCTCAAGTCTGAGAAACTGTCCTAGTCCAGAGGACCCTCAGTGGATATGATGACGCCTTGTAACAGGGAATCCAGGATGGGATTGGTAAGAACTAAGGAAACAGGAACAAACTGTGGACTTTAGTTAATGACAATGCATCAGTATTGGTTCACTCACTGTGACAAATGTGCCCTAGTAACAGAAGATGTTAATGATGGGAAGGTGAGCCTGGGATGTATGGGAACTCTATACTACCTTCTCAACTTTTCTGTAGATCTGTCTATTCTAAAATAAAAATTATTTTAAAATGCTTTCTCTTACTGACTGAATTATTTTGACCCCGATGAAATATATTTAGACTATTATGCTACAGTCAAAATTAGTCTAAAGATTTTTACAAAAATCTCATCAATTAAGAGATAGAGCTGAACTGTGACAAAACACCGTCTTCCTTTGATTTTATAAAACAGTGTATTGTTCTATGCTTATCTTCGTGTGATTAATAAGGCTTGTAGGTGAAATGAGCTGGCAGAATTCACCAAAGCTGTAGAACATTCTGAGTTGCTCCGTGTAAAATAATTATGAATCAAATTCAGGAATTACGCAGAACAGTCTCTTCCCGGGGACCAAGGCACTGTGGAATTGGCTCACTTTTATTAATATTCCATCGTATTCAATAGGTGACAATGGTAGGAAGTCACCATATTAAAACTAAGCACAGGGTGTGGGGCGGTCCACGACAGTGAAAACTACGTGGCTTAACCAGGTCATAACTGGGCCAGGAACTGCTTTTTGGGACACAATGCCCTAGGAACTGAACAATTACAGGAATCAAAAACGACCAGAGCCTTTCTGAGTCTTTTATCGAATGATTCCGCAAGACAATTCATTTCTAAAATCTTTCTCTCACTGACTAATAAATATCTTCCACAGATGTGGATGATGAATGTGTATATACACGCTTGGAAGTTTTAATATTTTACTCTCATAAAATTAGTAGAAGTGAGGGGCTCTGCAGTTTTCTTTTATTCCAGAAATAAGCTTTCCATATAATCTAATGGAATCACGTGTGCCTATATCCTTGTGTGCGTGTGTGTGTGTAGAAGCAGGTCACAAGTGATGCAGGCTCGCAGATACACTGAGAAAGCCATCAACCAAGTGAATAAATCAGAGACTACGTGTTCCTGCCCTTACCCTGCAGAGCTAGGTTATCATTTACGGGTTGTTTGGATTTCTTACCCCCTCCTGTAGGGAGGAGAATTGTGTGAATTCTTCCTCATGCTTAGATGTGTGAAAAGTAGCCCTAAACGTTCCTTGAGAAAGCAAACATTGTAGTTACTGCAGCACATTAACATATTACAAATTTTGAAATGGACTTTTTTCCTTTGTGATAAATCTGTGCTAACAGTGGGTTCTTCTCAGCATCCTCCAGTGTGGCTGGTCCCTTGAAAAGGTTTCTAACGAACAGGGGTCTGTGGAAATCCAGCCAGGAGAAGTGTGAGCCCACGCGGCCTACTTCACCTGACGGCCTGTTGGCAAATGGAGAAGATCCCGAGATCAGCTCACCCCACACTGTGATTCCCAGAGCACAGCCTGGTCAGGGTGCTTGGGGGAAAGTGCGTCAGGGTGAAGTTTTCCTTGTTGGGCTTCTTCACAGAAGGGGAAGAGGAATTGAATATCCTGAATCCGGTCCACGTGGGGCTCCCACTGGTGTAAAGGGAGAATTTGAACACGAAAGGAATGTGAGTTGTTCACTCTAACTCCTGCAGGGTGTATGTGGCCCAGATTCCTGCCCTTCACAAACAGCCTGAATCAGGGCTCCAGACAGGAAAATGAAGCCCATCCCGGAGGCACTGCCCGTTTGTGCACCCTCGATCTTTTAAAGACGTTTTGAATAATTTTTCTTCATTTTCTTGTCTTCATGGTGAATTACGGCATCCCCCCTGCTCTGTATAGCGTTTGCACATCAGTCTAAAGACCGGGATAGGGTCTATTTCTGCAGCACAGAGGCTGCCCTTGGATGGCGGGTCACGTGTGTCAAATCCACACCCATGTGTGACAAAGCACTCTTGGAAGGGCCAAGATGTGAAAAGACTACTGGAAAGCACACATGCGGTTTTTGAAAGAAAGGAGAGAAAGAAACGGCACATGTCCATCCCCAGCAGACAGAGAGACCGGCAGAAAGTGCTTCATTTTCAATAAAACTTCTCAGGCTCCACTGAAACCCGGATCAGGTTTATTCCTAGTGATGCCCCTGGTGGCCCTGCAGTGGGAGTGATTACAGGGGTGACTTGCCCCCCACCACCGATATCGTGGGGATCATAAAGGACCCCTGGGGAAAGTAAACGACCGTTCATGTCCCTGTAAAGGGAGCAGAGGAGGCAGGGACCCTGTGCTCTCCCCAGACCCCGGCCTGTGTCTTCACGTCCTAATGGGATGTAACAAATGGACTGAACCCCGAGGCCATGGGGCTCACGCTTACACGCGTAATGATTTTAAAATGTGTGGCTGCATCTTGAAGAAGAACAGACCTTGACATATTATCCGTTATCAAACGGCGGTAATTGACACAGAGACAGGCTGCGCTTTACACTGGGTTGTAATGAATCTGCCTGGCTGACCCCAGAGCCTGCACTTCTGAGCGCCCACGACTCACGACCTGACACTCTGTCAACTGCTCCAGGAGAGATGAATTACGGATGAGGTACTAATGACGCATTTCATCACCTGTTTACCTTCAGCGATCAGTGGCCCTCCTTTAATTTACCAGAAAGACGTTTTTTGAAGCTACTGTCAGTTAGAACAGCCTCTTGTTTGAAGTGGTTATAAAGTAACACATACCTGAGGAAACTTGGCTTCTGGTTCTGGTACTAAAGTCCTACAGGAAGAGAAAGAGAAAAAAAAAATCAGGGTTTTCTAAACAAAAGAGGAAAGGTTAACACTTGTGACTTCTTCCATTAGTAGGTTTTACTTCTCAAACAAGGGCCGCCAATGAAGTTAACCCATCAGAATATGTTCTCATGATTTAGGACCAATACTGAAGCAGAAGTCCCATAGGCTCTGTGCTGCACTTCATGTCGGCATCCATTCCTAATACGTGGAGGGTCACAGAGGCACCATCGCAGAAAAGAAAGATCAAAAGAAGTGGGCTGAGATCCCAGCTCTGCGTGGCATCGGTAGCCACTTATCCTACCGCATTTCAAATTTCCTCAAACGCCTTTCCCACTGGATCGTTGTGCAAATAATAAGACAAAATTAGAAAATGGTTTTATACTGTCTGGTACCAAGCAAGCAGCCGTGCCATTCTCCTTTCTCTTCCATTTTAACAGCTACTAACATTCAATCCTATTGATTTCAAATCAACAGATATTTGTGCTGCAGGGGATAGAAATCCTCATTAAGGAACCATAATAACCAAATAACTAT